TATATACAATATTTAAAAATTTTTTAAATTAAATTAACCAATGAAGTTAAATGTATTTAAGCTGTGATATAGCGTATTCATTGAGCATTTATTTTATTGTAATCAGAATAATTAGTCTTGCATCTTTTGCTATAATCTTTAATGTTATAATATAACAATTTTGTACAACTTATTTCATTACGTCATCCTCTACAGCAGCAACATCGATAGCGTATCAGTCATTTTGTCAATACACGTTTGTAGGCCTATAATTTAAGTTTTCTTTTCATCAATTGTACTGCTTAAAAAAGGACATTCTCTATGAATGGTATCATTTCGTTGGTGAAATATAACACTGATTTTAAAAAAATACACCGTATTTGACATTATTGTCTCGTTGAAAATTACAGTAAACTCTGCACTTAAAAAATTTATCGCGTATCTATATTTTTCGGAAGGGAGAATAGCGCGCATGCGTCCGAGAAACTTATGGGACGGACGTAGAGGACGTATGCGAACAGTGCGCCGGGGAGCGAAAAGGAGGGAACTACAACTGAGAAAGTAAGAGAGAGCCTCCGTGCAGAAAATTAAGCAGAAGACAGTGGCGGCCATTTTTCCTGACATTGCCGTTACTGCGGCTCGTGGTGCTAATTGTCGTCGTGGGTTGCTTAAACGGTGACGAGTCGTACGAGCAGCAAGGAGAAAACGCGGTACTAGACAGAATCGCGGTGTTGTTGTGCACACCGAGATAAAAGCGGTGCGAGATAACGATAAGGGAATTTAGACGTCAATGGTACGGCGTGGCTCGAAGTGACGAGTGCGTGTGTAAACGATCGCAGAGAGTAGTGGGGCTCAATCATAGTTGGCCGAGTGGACAGCCGAAAAGGAGGAGCTGCCGACTACGGGAAGGGTGTTACAGGAGGCGACGGCGACGGTGACGACGACGACCACGACGACAACGACGACGGCCACGACGACAACGACGACGGCCACGATACGACGGCGGCAACGATCGCGGAAACGGAGCTACGGCAGCCCAGCCTAGGCGGCCTTATTTCGCGGTTTCTTCCATAGAAACCCTCCTCTGAACGGAATCGTTAGTAATATTGCACAGTGCATACAGTCACGCGCCACCGCGTACATCAGCGCCACGAGATGGAGAGGCGAGCTGCTTTTGTGCTGCTGGGGATGCTATATTTAGCGGGCACCCTCGTCACGGTCCAGGCAGGTGAGACTTATCCTCTCTTTCGGATTGCCCACCATTCAGCCGTTCATTTATTCGTATCTCATTCCGTACCCTCTTTATCTTCGCTTTTATCCTATATATCACGTATGTTACTCGGTCGCGTTGTCAAATCGTGCACGAATACGATTTTTCTTGTTTTTTTCTCATTTTTTTCATTGAGAAGATATTCGGGAATAGGTATCCTTTCTTGGAACTAGAGAAATCTTACGCATTCTTTCGGAGTTACGAAGATTCATGGTGTGTGACCATGAACATTGAGACAGGACTGATGTTACTTCATTCTAGAATAAGCAGAATGTCAGTCGTGTTGTATTTCTGAGAAAAGATGGTAATTCCGGTAGATAGTCGTTGATCTTTTCCCTGTTAACTCGAAATTTAGTAAAGTCTATTTGCTTACATTTCATTCTTGAAGTTAATCATGCGCATCTTTTCATTATATTCTGACGGGTTAAAGAAACTCATCGGTACTATGACATACTTGTCACATGGTATTCAAAACCTATCTTGTATCGTACATGCGTTAATTGCACACAAAGTTAGTTTTAATTATACATCTCACCCAGAATGATGGGATAAATTCCCCTTTTAAACGGGAAACGATGGGTTCTAAAAAACGTGAGCGACTTTCGTGAAACATGCCGTGTTAATGCTAGGTGACGTGTCTTGACTGATTATGAAATTCTATTTTTAGTTTTGATTATACTGCATCGCGTTAGAAGTGCTAGTGCCCCGCGGCGGCATTGAATACGCAAAGCCATCAACCCATTTTCAACCAGGGTTTTCACGAATCCCATGCATATTCGAATAATGTTCCTCTTAAAGATTACGTGAAGTGGCTTTAAAAGATATTGAGATCCGGAATAACGATATTCCACAACCCGATTCCATTATCATAATTATATATAGTTTATGGACGTTCGATCGGTCGTGATACGTCGAACATTCATGGTATCACGTGTGTCGCCAGTCAACCGTCTTATTTGCACGTACAGGATCGCCTTTGGTATATCGTTTTGTATTCGTTATTATAAATCTTTGAATTAGATGACCGCCGGTAATAGTGGCATTCGTGCAGAAATTATTTCCAACTGTGTCGAAGCTTATTGGCAAAGACACATATTCTCTTGACACATCTACGTGCAATTTTATATATATGTATTTTTTTTTTTTTATAATAATATAACGATAAATATTTTGGGGTTATTTTTACGTTGTTCGATGTGTCGTGGATAATTGTACGTATGGAAGTCTGACATGCGTGTTTCTCGATTACAATCCGATAATGTATCGGCCAAATTTTGACCCCCGCGGTCATCCGAGTTGCGCACCCCTGGTTATACCGACGCGAGACACCGGGATTCGCATCGCACTCGATGCTGCAGCTACATTCCGAGAGACGTACGCAAAGTACCCACGCCAAGCAACTTTTGTTGCGTAACAATTGACCCTATTTTACCAGTCCACCCAGAAAACTTTACTGACTTTTAGCGATCGTTACGCGGAAGTTCGTGTTCGACCGGTAATTACGTAAATCCGCGAGATTTTTACGCGATAACCAGCATCAGTCGATTCGTAGATAATACGTAAACGTTTTGCGAACATGTCCTCGGCTAGTCTTTATTAATTGATATAGAGAATTTTTTTGTGACAAGTAGAATAGGTATGATAAGAGTCAGTGCATTAAAATTTAACCGTTTTTTTTTGTTTGTTTAGAATTAGTTGGAGGAGGGGGAAAAAGTTTTAGATCTTGTCTGTTGAATCGAAAGAACGTGCATCAAGCTGTGAAAATGTGTCGCGTGAAAAGATTTCAAGCTTTCGTCAGGATACTTATATTTAGACCAGACTCTACGAATATAATTTCCATTTTGTCCCCGTCGTGTTATGGGATTGGGGAGCAGACGTTGCGGACGTCTGACGCGATCATAAAATTCGAGGAATTTTTTTCTTTTTTTTTTAGTACAAAGTATCATGTACAAGGTTAGGTTCACATTCGATTTTATAAAATTTACTATTGAGATTAACACGCGTCTTCGTCGTTTATATTCTTAGCCTGTGCGCCTTGTTTATTCAAAATGTAAACTTAACCTCCATTCTCTAGCACGGTGAATGTTTTCATCCGCTCTGTTTTGCCGTCGCACGCAAACCAGACGAGAAGAAGAATGCTTACGTTTAACCCTGGGAGCGCGCATCTATTTTTGACCCTTTAGCATGTACCATAGAATAATGCAACGATAGTAACGCCATACAAACTACGAATTATACCGAACCTGTTTTTCGAATAACTCTGGCTACTTTTATTCATGAATCACGTAGTCGACGAAAAACCGAATATTTTTCATCAAATTCAAATTTATCACTTGTCAAATCTGATTATTTTCGTTTATGAAATCTTTTTTATCGTAAGGTTAACATCTGTGTACTTCTTTTTAACGAGGAAACGAGAATATATCGACTTGGCACATCTATATTTTGCATAGTCAAGGGTCTTATTTACCGTTCTACGTTAAACGAAGCTTGAGGTATATTCTCATTCTAGATAACATATTTACGATTTACCATAAATCATTCAAGTATGACGTTAAAAATAAAGACACGTTAGAGACGACTTAAAAATTTCAGTTCCATTAGAATGGCTAGAGTAAAATATCTTCATATCTCTGTGTATTGTTCGAGATACCGAGCATGACTGCGCCCCGATCGATTCCGAATACGTTTTTCGCCGAGTTTGCTATTCTGTGTCCTCCCTGTATAATACGAAAGCACGAACGGTTTCATATGCTTCGATCGGCTGCTTTCTTACGTTTTCCTAACCGATGTGCAAGCAACAGCGCTACCAGCTGCGACTAGTGACCCTCGTTTCATCTAACTAGGCCAACGTTTTTGGTTTACTTGTTCCGTGATATATCAGCCTCACAACAACAATCATTTTATGCATCACCGAAATAAATTCATTAGGGTATCTTTAGTTTATTACATAACTGTTAGTCGACCGAACCGGCTGAAAACTTTTGTCCGTCTTTCTGTATTCTAGGTCTGGGTTAGGTCTAGGATAGAACTGGTTTCGAATACGAGTACACCAGCAGTACATAGATAACGAACATGCAATCAATCGAGATATTAGTAGATTTATTGAAAGCTTTACCTAAGCTCGTCGATATTATCTTCATTTTAACTATGACTGAAGTACTTCGTTTTGTGATATGGACTTTTAATTTCGATAATGATTTACGTCTGTTTTCATTTCGTTTGATATTCAGAAAAGATGATTCATTTAAGTCACAATCTCTTTGTTGGATGAGTTTTATTTCTGTTAAAAGGCGTCTTCCGCCTACAAGGAAATGTTAACGTATTACACGTTCGAGGAACGATAGCGCTGCAATCGAAGAAAAATCACGACAGTGTATTATGAGAGGCCTGAAAATGTGTTACTTCTTTATAATAGTATGAAATGTAGTGAGTTCTTATGGTGAATCATATCCCTAGCTGACGTCCGACCTTTGTTATAAACCACTGGCAAATATTACTGTGACGTATACCAACTTGTATGTCCACTGTTGTGATACTTCGTTGCAATTTTACCGATTCGTCATCGAAATGCTGGGTCACGTGATCTCGACGTACGCGTGCTGCTCTGCTACTTACCATTTGTTGGGAATTAAGGAGGCTTACCCACCAAGTTTAGAACAAGGTTAATCGTTCTCCAACTGTAGGTATCATTATTATTACCGATCTTATCGTAAAAATAATACTGTTACACTTGAGTGTATCATTTAAATAGAACGAAGTAGTAATAGATAATTGCAATTTTAGAAAAAATTGTAAAAATTTATGCTTATCTGCATTATGTGTAGAATTATTATAGTTAGTTATGTACTGATATAAAAATGGAAAGAACGAGTGCGTTCAACCGATATTAACTACTGATGATTCAAGCCAGCATCTCTTTCAAGTCATGTTGAATCATCGTAGAATCCTCATGCATGCTGACTTTCTGTGTTATTCGTGTAACGTATGCCACGACGGAGTCTCTTCGCGACAGACATTCTCCAGATTCCAACGGTGTGTAGTTATGTGTAATTTTCGGATTGTAATTAGGTGCCAGAAAGAATGCATTTCGGTAACCACGTAGGGAGCACATGTGTGCGTGTGTGTGTGTGTTAGATCTTTTGATATTATTTAACGTCACGACGCAAGCGGTGTCGTACGAAGTTGTCGTAGAAACCCAGTAAAACACCTGACCCAGAAATGAATCTCGCGAATCGAAACGAAGCACCGATTCACATTATTTCCGTTTAACCGAACTTTCGAAATGATTCGATTTAGTAAATGTTAACGTTTTAACCTCGTTTATAGGTTTAAGTCGAATAGTCACTGTGGCTGCACTAAGTTCATTTTAATGTGCGATAATCCGATTGGCCTTTCTAAGAAAACTACTAGGCTGCTCTGACGCGGTGTACCACGGAAACATAAGAGGGAAAGAAAAAAAGATGGCGGAAGCACGTCGTTGTTCCGTATTGTTCAACCGCGAAGGTTACTCGATCTTCGCGATCGAATATACACGTCCGATTGCGTCTGCAAATTCGATGGTCTCCCTTTACACGTTTTTTATTTCAGACACGAATTGGCTGTGTGTAAATCATCGCATGTGTTTCGTTGGCAATGTATGTATGCTCGTGTGGCAACGTACCTACTATCCCTCCCTGAGAATGACGCAAGAGCAGGAGGATCTCTTATTGACTGGCTGACGTAAACATGCGTAAACACACGTACATTGGTCCATGTATAAAAGTTTGGTTGGTCTCATCTCACTGCAAAACGGATGTAAATTAAACAAAACGGCAATTTGACGAATTTCATCTCGTTTCAAACTTAATTACCGTAATCTTTCTTTTGTGCGTGTAATAGGTTAGAACACGCATCCTCGTTCAAATTACACGCGATCCCACTAACTGCTATTTTCAGAAACATACGGTAAACTTTGTTCGCGTTAAATATTAAAAATTGTAACTTCTTTTTTTTTTCTTTTATTTGAGAAAAAGTAACGGTGGAACTTTGAATTTTTTTTTTTTTTTTTTTTTTTTTTTTTTTCTTTTTTCACATTCACGTAGAAGTAAAAGCGGCGAGAAACTCGTTAGAGAAGATTAAATTAGCAACTTCGTCCCGAAGCAAGACGTTTTTATCTTCCACTACGAATTCTGTTAACTTGTAACGACAAACATCCGACTCTTTTGACCGTTTCTGTTTGCCTTAGCCACTGGCCGTTGAGATATCAAATTTCGAACGTTGTTCGTTTTGTTTACTTGGAGATAATATCGGTGAACTGGAGGACAAAGAGAAGGCTGTGCTGAAGGAAAAATCACTTAAGATCCTCGTGCATGGCATTGAACGGTTACCGCGCTAAATGCAGCATGACAACACCAGGAAAACAATCTTCAGCTTGAATTTAGAAATGTTGTTGGTCTTGTTAGATGACTAGCTTTCTGTTAGTCCTAAGTCAATATAGACTTCTCTTCAGTGATTATCGTTGGATGTATTATTCGTTATTATTATCGTGTATTTAAAGTGCGAATTAGTCATTCACTAACCTCTTGTAAATTGTATTTCAGATAAAAAGGATTAATGGTTAATCTTGTTTATTTTGTATTTTATAAACCTCAATACTTGACTCATCTAAATGGAATAATTGTTATTTCGAGCTGTTTAGATGTATTGAATATTTATTATTAAAAATGAATATTTAGTGTATTGAACTGTTTAGGTGTTTGTACAAGTTCATGAGCCACGGAGCGTGTATAGACATTCCTCGCTCCACGAGTAATTTCATCTATCTGCTGGATGTATTAGGGTAGAAAAATTGCAATGTATTCCTATCGGAAAGTCGCGTCACGATTGGCTCCACCCTCCCTTACATCAAGTTGATGAGTTTATCAGGAGGTGCAGTGACCGGCTTTTAAGTGACCCGTATTTGAAATTCGTTTATCTTCTAAGCTCGCTGGTGAGCTTGCAAGCGAATTAATAATCTGGCGAAATTAGACGATGCAGATACCTCCGCGCGCAAATTGAGTTCATGGCAGGCAACACTTCGTCGCTGTTTGAGAATTTTCGCCGTTTGTCTTATCTGTTAATTTTATTAATAAAATCACTGTTTCTCGTTTAATTCAGAAATTTCAAATTTCAATTTCGTAATTGTTCATTTTAAATCTGAAATATGAATATTGAAACAATTCGTTTCTAATCTAACTTAACCTAACTTCTATTTCTAACCTAAAGCTAAAACTGTAGTCTCAATGGCTGGCACCTGATTATACCGTTCAAGAATATTGCTCGTTTGCTTTGTTCCTTAATTGCATCGATCATATATCTCGTTTCTCAATGAGTTCAGTGGTTCCAACATTATGGCGAATGGTAATTTTCAACCTTTGGCGTTGTCAGGGAAACAGAACGTGTTTACGAGCATTGGCTCTTACTTGTGCGCTCCATCTCGCGTATACGTGCAATTCCAACTTGCCAAATTGCGTCCTAAATCACGGGCGTCCCAATTCCTGCGTCCTCCATCGTGTTCTCTATATTTCTGCATAGAAGATTTTTGCGTCTCCACTTCGACAAGTCCTGCTGGACCTCTTGTGGTGGCCTGGCTCCTCCAGCCAGGACAAAAAGGCGACGCTGTGTAGTTCCAGTTTGGTCCAGTTCGCGGCAGCTCGTTGTACATATATACGAACACAAAAAGACATGCTTCACTCTTGTTGGAGTATTTTTATCTCGAATCGATTGTACGTTTAGGTTTATTTCTAGATAGAGCAGAAAATACATTTGAAAGTATTAGCTGAAGTATAAAATTCTTTCTTATTGATATCAAATAAATACACTATACTTTGGATTTTTCCACTCGTTATTTCGTTCATTTTTCGATGTTCTAATCACATTTATTTAAACAATATTATGAAATTATTTTTAATCATTTTTATTTTTACATCTACGAAGTCTGTATAAAGACTGTGAAGTCTGAAAGGAAACACCAGAAAAATTCTAAAATTTTCAAAGTGCCATTTGTTGGTTGAATTTCAAAGATCCAGTTTGGCATAGTTAAGAGTTCGAAAGATCGATTTCTCGATAATGTCGGCATTGAAACTCACACGGAGGGACTCGCGGTAACAGTTTGAATTACGAATGAACGGCGAGCTTTCAACCCCTTTTCCAACCGCACCTACGTGGAGAGGCACACGATTCCACTGTATAGCCACTCCTGATGCTTAGGGTCATACGGCACGTGTTCGCCATGCTATCGATCTCTTTTCCATCCTACTTCGTGCTCTAGCACAGCTATAACTTTGAAAATCGCGTCCTAAACAGAACGGCCTAATTCTCTTCTTTATCTGTCTATTCCCCTCACAAACGTCTGACACTTGTGAAATCTTCTTTATACTTTTTATAAAACGATAAGAAATCTGATTACAACATTCAAAAAACCCGCCATTATTGTCCATGCGTATTAGACGTCTAATCTGTCAAAGAAGACAGGTTAAATTGTCGTTGGAATAATTAATATTTCGAACCTAATAATTCGTTTAAATGTAAGTACATCAAATATCTACCACCATCTCCGTATTATAATTTTTTTAATTAAATCCTTTACCTAACCAAGGAGATTCATTGTCCAATTAAGAAATGGATCCCAGTTGACAGGTTAGCACCTAGCGTCTAAAAATTGCAACCGAATTGGAAGTTACCAGGTTCTCAGCCTCTTTCATTCCTCCTGTGCAGAATCGGTATTACGTAAATATTTAAACAGCAAACAAACATCGATCCTCCGGTATCTTTTCTGCTCGCGGTGTATTCTTAAATCGCTTAACAGGGAAGGCAGAAGACAGCGGCCACTTTATAGGTCAAGCCCGACGTGTTCGTGATTATCAGTCTCTTTCCCCCGGCCCCTGCATGCATTATAATTTCATCTGGTCGAGTTGATGTCCACGAGGACGACGGGGTGTTGTAAAAGAATAAATCGCTAAAAATAAATAGAAATCGTCGAGCGTGTTTGCGCTCCTCCGGCCCGCGAAACCGGATCAACGTGTTCGTAGGAAGAGAGACGTGTTCGGGATCTCTTGCCTCTTACCAGTTCTTCCCCAGTCGTGATTGACTTTTTGGCGCCGGCCGGTTTCGAGCCTCTTGGGACGCGAGTCCGAGAGAATTCTATTTTCTACTGAAATGGACATGAAAAACCACATCCTCGGCCTTACAAAAATTCCTTCTTCTCTTTCTTCGCCTATATTTAGCTCGTGATCCTCCTGGGTCACTGCACTCTCTGGAGAATACTGGTAGTGGGGAGTATCTAGGAATTTTTCAGGGTACCGTACGTATAGGGTGGTCATATGTAACTAAGATTCGGTTTATCGATGGTACAGTTGTGAAATGAATATAGTCACAAATTATTCTTGCGAAATAACATTTACTAATTCAAAAAAAAAAAGGAAATAGAATTCATATCTATGATACACAGGGTATCGTACTACTTAAAACTGCAGAAACGGTTTCTCAGGGCTTGAAAGAGAAGAAAATTTCAAGAAAACTATTTTTTATACAACGCCATCTATACTCTATACTCGATATCAAAGAAACCCTAAAATTGAATGTCGGTCGACATCTCGCCTTCGTACATTGAAAAAGCGTATCGTCGACGCAGCGACAGAGAGGATTATCGTTGAAGAAGCAGCACACTCGTGACCCAATCCTCGTGGAAAACAACCGCATATAGAACCTTATCACCTCAAAGAGTGGCCCTTGTCGTACACACCTCTTGACGTATGCTCCTATGTTCTTCCCGATAAAGTAACCTACAAGGGAGCGACGGTCGTGCACGAGGGTCAACCTTGGTCGATCGAGTGTAGCGACCTGAAGCCGGACGATCTGATCAGATGGACCAGAAACGGGCAATCGCTCGAGCCGGAATTGGCGAGCGGTCAGCTGGTTGTCCAGTCGCTATTGGGCACCGGTAGCAGCACTCTCAAGGCGATTTACGCCACGGACACTCACGACGGGGACTACAAGTGCACCCAGGATAGCGACGAATCCTTCCATCTTTGGATATACTTTGGTTCGTATACTGAGCTCCCTTGGCTTAGATTTTCTTACATTTCTAACATTTATTTACACATATTTTTGCTTTTTTACTGCATGTATACGCTACATATAACCTGCACACTGATTATTCGAATGTACATTGACGACTGTGTGATTTCTGTTGCATGCTGAATGGACCTGCTGGAAATGCTGGAATTGCTTGAGCTTGATAGCTGTGAGAAGTCTTACATAGTACGCGTGAAGTCAGCTGGTTAATGCAGGCCGCTCGAAGAGTGTGCCCTCACGATAACGCGTTGCGTAGAAAGTTTCCCCCACCCTCTGAATTCTTTCCTGTACCATAAAAATACTGAATAATGCATTACTTGGAAATGCGTCGATTTGACTAATAAGTTGCTTTTGATATTATTCACTGTGGAGGAAATATTCTTAAATAACAACAGAATAAATTTGTATAGGATGTGTATAACAATGTACTATAATTCCAGACAGAATTGTATCTTTTCACCTGTTTTTTTTCCAAGTATTTTAAGACAACCTTGTTAAGCAATATGTTACCGGTACTTTTTAAACACTCGTCAAGAGTTTCTAGTGGTCTCGTTAACCTACATCTCAGTTTATTTGAACCGCGACACCTGTAAATTGCTCGAATCGGCGTGGAGAAGCATATTATTAACGAACATCATTGTACACCATCGATCCGTTCGTCATTCATTAATCCACAAATTCTAGCCGTTGCGTTAAAGTTCAAAGTTCACTTCTGGATTAGGATTATCAGATTAACGATATAACTCACTCGTTGCTTGCGTATCGAATAATCTGTGATAATAGCCAGCTGTTTTTTTTTTTTGTAAACGGTATCACACGATGAAAGTACTCGCGGTTGTACAGTTAGCATGGAGCTCTGCGCGCCGTACACCACCTTCGCTTTTCATGACGCATGATTTTTCAGCTTCGATGCTTATCTAGTTGCGCAAATGTAAATGGTAATTGGATATGATTAATATCTACTCTAGGCCTATTGCCGCCTGTTGACTGTATTGTGTGCGAGATGAAGCAGTAGTACGTCGAGTGTAATTGTCAATGAACGCTGCTTTGCGACTAATTAAAATGCTTTTTCCTTCGATTACACGTGCGCTGTTACTGTTGTCTGCTTCGAGGAAATGTTTATTCTTTCGATAAACGCGTTCCATGATGTAATCCACGTTGCAGTCGTCTCTCGCTAGTTTATATCACTGTCGCTTTTATTTGCTTGCAATTCTTATCACACAGCGAGACATATGTTGTTTCTTTGAGAATGGAATAGCTTCGAACACAACCTTGGCTATATTCTTTTACTCAGAATTATTACTTAATACGATATAACGTTCCTGTTGCTTTTCAATTTAATTACGCCTGGAGAATCGTGGAATTTGAAGGCTGTTAGAAGAATAAATAGGCAATTAGATTTATCTCCGTTTACGTGGAATTATTCTACTCTGGCAATTGTTTACTTGAGAATTAGAAAAGTTTGAGAAATTTTACGAAATTTGTACGTGGACTACGCGGAGAGTATTTATTTTGTATTTTTGTTTTTTTCATTGCTAGATTAAATAGATGTATTTTTTAAACGGTAGCGAATTTTAATTAGCCATGTTTTGAAAGTGTTACCGTGTTGAAGAAGAGGTGTGTGATAAGTGAAAACTAGGTAGAACGACGTATTTTATCCGCGAAGGTAATAAATCGATTCTTACGTTGGTTTTCTTACACTTTCAACAGATAACGATACGATCTGAATTGTTCTGATAAGAATAATATTGAAGATAAAGAGAGTGAGATCGTGAAATAGATGCAGGGATCTCGAAAGTTATGTTATATAACTCGAACGTGGAATTTTGTGAATTTATACTTGAAATTGTGAAACTAACACATTTGGAATACCGGTGTTGGTGTGTAAATTTTGTAAATAATCATTTGATATAATCTAACCAGAATAGTTCTTTCTTCACAACAGACATCAAGATCAGAGTGCTAACGCCCAAGGATGTTCCACTGGCATTAGAATGCGCGAACAGAAGTGCCGGTGAGAAATTGCAATGGTTGAAGGAAAACGTTCCAATTCATACTGCCTTGGCTGGCAGTGACGATATCATTAAGATAGACAACGAAACAGGCACCTTGGAGCTTCTGAAGACCTCAGACATCTTGCATGGAAATTATACTTGCAAAGGAACCAACTCCACCACAGAGTACAGGATCGTACGTAAGTATCTCATTCCACCATGAAAACTATACTCTAATCTGATTACACTGTCTCTATTGCAAGATTATTTCTTGCAAGAGATGTCAATCTTCTTAATGGATTGATTCCACCTTCTTTTTTTCCCCCTCCTTTATTATTTCCATTTCAATTTTAAATTCAAATTGAACGTGCTTGCTTGTTGTTCACAGCAAGACCCACGGCGTACATGACAGATTCGACAAGCGTGGTGGAGGGGGAGAAGCTGCATTTAACATGTGCCGGTAAGCAGAGTCCTGGTATCAAAGTATCATGGACGTTCGGGGACCAGAATTACACGAGCAGCAATGGTCGCGTTAAGCTCGGATGGGACCACGAAAGGGGCATCTACGGCGCCATCTTAACGGTCGAAAACATCGATATGAACGATCGTGGCAACGTTTTCTGCAGGGTATCCTACAACTGGTCCGATAACTCTGAGCATCACATGGCAGAGGCCCACACATTCCTTAGGGTCAAAGACAAGCTCGCCGCACTATGGCCCTTCTTAGGTATTTGCGCGGAGGTCGTTGTTCTGTGCGCTATCATCCTAATCTATGAGAAGAAACGAAACAAAGCTGAGCTCGAGGAATCTGACACTGATCAGAGTCCTGATACGTATGTACCTATTTTGGTTATTCATTCATTACTATTTAATTCCATTGCAAATTGAAAATTCATTATTGCAACGAAAATATACAGAGATCCACGTAGAAGCAGAAGAGACGACAAATTGGAATACTACATTCCATTGCGCGGACCCCTTCCACCTTCCGAACTTCCCATCGATTCCCCGCTCCCAACGCTGGAATTCCCAGGTCACAGAACCAAACGCACCATCTTGCACTCCTTTTACAAAGAACCACGTCGATCGTCTGCACCAGCGCGGTTGAGTTTGTCCCGCTATTGCTTTCGATCTTTCCCTCTGAAGTCGTATCGTCGCTTTCAAATTCACTGGCGCACCCTCATAAAAGAACACTGTGAAAGTAGAGAAACGCAAACGTAGAGAGATCTCTATGTGTGAAAAGAGGAGGAAGCATACGGTTGGATTTCAACAACTGTTTTTCCCATTCTTAACACGAAAAGAGGTTATACTCCTGAAGTTTCCTATTATATAATGTATCTTTTCCGATGCAAGCTGTGTACATCGTGTATATATCGATTACACGCCGCCATACTGTTTTGCTCTCGTATAAATTGTGCGTGACTCATCCTTGTATCCATTTACCTTCGTGTAACATGGTCGCACCGTTTTAATAGTCATTTTCGTCTGGTTCCACAGCAAGCCAACGCCCAACAAGGACTCCGACGTCAGGCAGAGAAAGTGAACGAGCTAAGAAAAAGCGGCGGATGAACGAGCGCGATGCAGGATAGCGGAACGGATGTGGGGAACGATCGTGTTGGCATCTGCCGAAGTGACAATATAGATAGATGTTATAAGAGAGAGAAAGGGAGAGAGAGATAGTGTGGGAGAGAATGAGGTGATAGAGAGAGAACGGGGTAATAATACAGATTACAAAAAAACAAAATATATAGTTCCGTAACTGAGAGAAAGACACATCGTTCAAAAAGGGGGAAAACACGAGTATAGATAATGGAAATTAATACAGAGAGAAACGATTATAACGTTTTAAGTAAATAGGGTAAGCTCAGAAAATGACAGAAAGAAAGCGAGAGAGAGAGAGAGCCCCAGCCAGCCTCCCCCGTCGTTCGAGTGCATACCTGCGTGGAAACAGGCTTGTCTGTGCACAGAGAATGAATTAGCGCGCGCGGAATTACAATTTACTAACAAATTTAAATTAAGCCTTACTATCGTGTTCACTCCATTTATCAGATGTTCGCCTGTCCGTACTCTCTTACTACACTGCTTTGATCGACGGTCGAGAAGAAACGAAAAAAAATAGAAAAAAAAAACTGTGCTGCTGATCTTACGTGTTGTATGTGTCTATAAAATGATGCCAGTGCGCGTGAGCATAAAGGGAAGACTTAAAAAGAAAGAAAAACAAAGGTAAAGTTAAAAAGAGGAGAGGGGAATGATGAGAGTAAAAGCAACGGGCGAGAAAGAAGACAGGGTTATATGGATGTGTGCGCTCATGCGTGCTCGCATGCGCTTGAATGAAAGAATGTGATAGCGATGGAATGAAGAAAAACCAAAAAAAGTAAAAAAAAAAAAAACATGAAATTA